CTTCTTTACTAAGAAGTAAATACAAAATTTAATCCGTGAATATGCTCAGAAAAGGCCTATTCTATCATATTCACGGAGTAAATTTTGTATTTACTTCTTAGTAAAGAAGTTTATACATTTTATAAAATATAAACTTAGATGACTTTAGATTTTATGCACCATAGTTTCGAAAATAAGCTACCTCTTTTTTTAGATCCGAGATCCGTGCAAAGACTAATTCAGAGAATAAGCTACCCTTCACCTTCAACGTACCGGCAGACGCAAAAAATATAGTAAGAGCACTAAATAAAATATCAGTGAGGTCACTTTACATATAATTTTGACCCTTAACTCTTAAGATCAATCTTCATTTTCAGATTTTTGCCTGGATCACGTAACCCCGAAAATAGGCTACCCCTTCTGTCAAGCCTAAATCATGCAAAAATTAAAGTAACGAAAATAATGTAAAAAAGAGGTTGCTTATTTTGGACTTTTAGGGTATGCATCTAACGATCGGGCTAAAGTATTTAGCATTAAAAAAATAGAATTTAGGACATTTAGGACTTAACGTTATATGATAATTCAAAATCCGAAATATTCAGGACTTTGAAAAGTAGTTTAGCCTGAATCATTATATGCATCATTAGCCAATGAAAATGAAGATAGGTTTCATAGTAAATTCGCTACGCAAATCCGTCGATTTCGCAAACGTAATAATTTATTATTGTAATATTATGTTGTCTTACCATAAGAAAACTAAATTTAGACATTTATAATACGTAATATTATTCAAAATTTAGAAAGTAAATATAATGTCAGCTGAGCCAGTTTGTAGAAATATCATCTAGCTAAGCCGGCTTGAAGCTGGTACTTACTGGCTAGCTTGGATCTAATAATATTATTTATATAATAATATTAATCTGAAAAATAATTTGTTGTTATAGAAAAATTGATTCAAGCTTTTAGTTATTAATTATTTTATAAATATAAGTTTTATATGTAAGTTCTTAAAGTTTTCAAATATTGTAAAAATATATTAATTAAGAAGATAAACTTATTATAAAGTACTAAGTTTATAAAAATTCTATTTCTTTAATTGTAATATTGTGTAATTATAGTAGTATTTATAATCAGCAAAAATAAAGATAATTTTTGAAGATTTTTATATAAAAATTAAAATATTAAAAAATATTTTTTAATATAGAAAAATAAGTTACAAAAACTATTTATTTATTGATTAAAATTTAATAAAATTAAATTCTTTTAAATTTGTTATTATTATTTACCAAAATAAAAATTTGGTTAATTTCATATAATTAAAAATCAGTTAGATAATTATAAAATTTGTTTGATTGGTTACTATATTCAAAGTTTGAAGCAATAAATTATATCTTTTCTAATTAATCTTTGGCTTTCATTAAATTGTTTATTATCAAGAAATTATATATAAATGCATTATCTAAAATATTATCCACAAATTCAGCCATATACTATTAATATATTTATATTACTTAATTATTAATAAAAAAATTATATTTGATTAGATTAATTAACTATATAATATTAATATATTTATATTACTTTACTATTAATAAAAATTATAATTGTTCAAATTAATTATTATATTACTTTATTATTAATAAAAATTATAATTGTTCAAATTAATTATTATGTAAGATCTGTAATAAAAAATTGGTTATATACTACACACCCCTACAGTATATTACCGGAAATTTCAAAAATTTATCTGTCATTTTGAAACCCTATATTTCAACATCCAGTGATCCCATTCGAACAAAGATATTACCATTAGATTCATATAGTTGAGACGAATCTAATGATGATATCTTGTTCAAATGGAATCACTAGATGTTGAGATATCGGGTTCCAAAGTGACAGATTCATTTTTGAAATTTCCGGTAATATACTGTAGGGGTGTGTAAGTATGTCATAATCTACTAACTTGCTGTTGCCAGATGCTTCGAATAAGCAAAATCATATTTAAATATTGAGATTTCAGAATTATTAACTTTAGATAATGCAAAAGAGATTGTAAGGCAACGAAAAGTGGTGTTCCTTCCAGAAAAATGCATCAATAGCTCTTTACCTATGCAATGGAAATGTTCTAAAGATCAAAGGTCATGGCGCCCATATTGTACAGGCAATACTCGGCAATCTCTCGATATTGCTAAGATAATAGCAATCAATAAAGGTGGAAAGTGTTATTTGCGATGGAAATGTGCAACACTTGATAGTATAAATATCGAAATTCGTGGTGTCCATATTGTGCAGATCAAGCTAAAATACTCTCGATATTGGTAAGATGATTGCAATTAATAAAGGTGGAGAGTGTATTTCAAATAAATATATTAATGGTAAATCTTATTTACGATGAAAATTTGGCAGAGGTCATGAATGGAGTGCAACACTTCAAAATGTAAAATCAAGATACATAGTGTCCCATATGTGCTGGACATAATCGAACTATTGAGGATATGCAAAATTTTGCACAGAAACGAAATGGAAATGTCTTTCGAATAATTATAAGGATGCTCATTCTAAATTGATATGTTCTAAAGGGCATTACACACCCCTACCTGGAAATTTCAAAAATGAATTTGTCAATCTGGAACCCGACATTCGACATCCGGTGATCCCATTCGAACAAAAATATCATCATTAGATTCGTATAGTCGAGACGAATCTAATGGTGATATTTTTGTTCGAATAGGGACACCGGATGTCGAGATATCGGGTTCCAAAGTGACAAATTCATGTTTGAAATTTCCAGTAATATATTGCAGGGATGTGTGCGGAATGCCACATTTGTTAGTATAAAAATAAAGATACATGGTGTCCATATTGTAGTAAGTATAAACGTGAAAACTTATGTCGTGATATTGTGACAAAATATCTTGGGTCACTATCCAAAAAAATCGTAGACCTGATTTCTTGAAACTCCGGAACACCCAAATGGATTAGAGCTTGATAATCCTTATTATCGATATGGTTTCGCAATTGAAGTCCAAGGAAAAATATACCGAATTCTTTCATATAGGTGATCTGAATAATTTCATAAAACAGCAAGCACGGGATCAACTCAAGAAAGAATTATGCGAAGAGAATTGGATATATTTAATTGAGGCTCCACATATAGTAATTCCAGAAAAACTCGAAAAGTTAGAATTTATAAGTTATATCTTGAGAACATTTGTTTGTAATCTTAAATATAAAAATTCATGTACGTGTCGTGTTGATTTTTGATGCAAGCAAAACTTTATTAGCGTTAGGTTCAAAAGTGATTTACGAATGAGCATGACATGTATGTCACAAGGGCGCAGTAATTCACTTCACATATGTTCGCATTTAACATTAAAAGATAAATCCCGGCGTGGCGAAACTTTATTAACCAAGATACATGTATATCGATTATATCATTAAGAAAATATTCTTCTCGTGGTGTAGTAAAATAATTTCCACACTTTAACCACATTAATTTTTCTTATTTTTCTTTTTTTTCGTATTTATTTGCAACGGAATAGGTATTTGTTCCTCCGATGAGTCTGAAAGAAAGGGAAATAGTTATAAAAAATTGGATGTGTTCGACTTCAAACACAGTTCCATTGTCCGACACTCCCCACGCTACCCGACCAGTCTTGGATTCCTTCTTCACCCTTTCGAAATAATCCCTGAGAAACCATAATACACCGCTCATGGAGTTCCATTCAAACTTACAACCGTAAAAATCAAGAAAAAGAATTCCGTAGGGAAGTTCTCCAACAACAATGATGTGATCGAAGCCATAAAGTTTAACTTGTTCCAATTCATTATAAAACGTTTAGGACTATCTTTGAAGAGTTTGGCCTTTATTTATCAATAAGTATATTAATAAAGTGAGTTGATAAGAGAACTTTTTGACCAATTTCAAATTCTTCAAATTTGTGATGTTAATTTGCATATTTTTGTTGTCTGT